TGTGTGTGTTCAGGTTTTGTAATTTCCTAGAACAGGCTCAAGTTGTTAATCTTAATAATAATTTTCATTTGCAAACAAAATAGATATCCAGAATATAGTAATGATTAGCAGTATAATTTAAGGAAATTTTTCTCAATATGTATGATTTTTAAAGACAGTTCTGTAGAAAATAAATTTCTGTAATAAATTCCAAAATAAAAAGTTTATAAGCCAAGACTTGTTTGTACCTATATACCATAAATTACTTTCGAGATATAAACTTGCATAAATCTGTAAAACTTTTTAGAATATTATGTATTACACTAAGAGTGATACTGGATGGTACAATAAAAAGTTAGGCAAAATATTTCCTTTCTCTGAAAAAAGAATGACAATCATAATTTTTTCCAATGGGCCTTCAATATAGATTTTAATACATCAGATTTAGGTGACAGTACGTATTGCCCTATACAAAATTCATTCATTCTGAATAGTTTGCAAAAATGTCAAAAAGGCTCCTCTTGAAAAAGTAGATGTTAGAGAAGAATTCTAAATTTGCACTTTTCTCCTCAAATTTCCTCTTTAACCCTTTAAAAGCCAAGGTATCAAAATTTGTCTAAATTGGGATGATTTCAAAATTAGTACTCAGAAAAGTACAGCTAATTCCCATCTCCTCTTGTGAATTTACCCACATTACAGATGAATGTTTAAATCCCAGGTTATATGTTTTACTAACTACTTTTTCCCTATCATGTGTGTGTGTGTGCACGCACGCACGCGCGTGTGTATGTGTGCCCACGTACAAGAAATACAAATACATAACTGGAAAGGTTGATCTGTAAAGAAAAAATCCAAAAGATATGTTTCATGGCCTCACAGATACTTTCAGATTATAATTATTTATACTTGAATTTTATTTTAAGTATCATTTCCTTCATTCTGCGTAACAAATTATTCTCATTATATGATAAAGAAGGAAGAGAAATAGATGAAGAGCTTTCCTACCAAACAATTCCTAAAATGGTTGAGATTAGAACTGAAGGGCTAGGGTGTAGCTCAGCAGAACACTAGTCTAGCATGTACCAGGCCCTAGGTTTGATCCCCAATATAGTACAATGACAAAAACAAACAAAAAAACTATAACTAAGGTGCTAAAAACCTTATGCTTAGTCTATGATGCAACTCTCCCTCAATTTTGTTCTCTCCTAAATGAATGTGAATAATTCATTAGCCTGTATTCACATAAAAACTACTTTTGCCTTTAGATCTAACAAAAAAAAATGTCAGCTATGGGGCTATCGAAAATTTCAAAAGGTAAAATCCAATTCTGAAAACCTACTCTAACAAGGAAATGTTTGATTAGAGGACTTCAGAAACTGAGTCTACCTGGTTTCTAAAGAAACTTTAGGGACAAGCATGGGCATAAAGGGAAGGTTTTGAAGAAGAGGGTGGGGGATGACAAGGGGTGCAGTTCCAGCTCAGTACATCCTCAATAACTCCTGTGAATAAATGGACACAACTAAGACTCCTCTTGGTAAGTTGGTTATTACTTTGTGGACAGCTTGTGTTGACATAATCTGGTATTCACAGACACAAAGATCAAAAGTTGTATCTGGTCCCACTGGGGAGGGCACTTTTGAGTGTAGGTAATTAAGTGTTATTTTCTTAGGGGAGACAGTCTATCGCTGTGGAAATCCTATAAACTTTGGAGTTGGCCAACTTGGGTTTATAACTTGGCTAATCCACTTACTGGCTGTGACCTCTGGCAAGGTATCAGGAACCTTAGCTTTATGATCCCTAAAATGGGGATAATACTGTCTTTGCAGTGTTCGGCAGTTCTCAGGGATGAAGCCCGTGCTTGACACACTGCAGATTGCTCAGTGAAAGGCAGAATTCCATCCTAGACAATAGAAGAGGAAGGAGAGGCCATAAAATGACCAGCTTGTTTATCTTTACTCAGAATATGATCCTAGTCTTTACCCCATGATGGAGACAGTTTTATCTCTTTATTTGAAATGCTGAAAATGAGGGTAGAATTAGAAATTGTCCTTCAAAAATAAAAGAGGTGGTAGACTTGAAATGATTCAGAATAAAATAAACTACAGCTTTGGGATCTAAAGCTTTCTAGGGAAAGGACAACTGAAGTCAATAATGACAAACAAGAGGAAATGTTCTAGGAGACAGAGATGCTGTGAGGCAAGCCTCTGTGAGGACTGGGAATGTGGGAGTTGCCAGAACTGAAAACCAAACATTCAGTGGCTGTCCAAGCTGGAGAGAGAAACTGGGCTTCAAGTTAGAAAGGCTGCATGTTGTGAATGCATTTTCAAAAGAAAACAAATAATGAACTTGAGCCTGGTCTTGTTCATCTACTCTTGAGTCCGTATTTTTTTTGAGGCCTTTCCCCAACACTCCTCCATCAACATTATCACTGAAGCGAAAAGTAGAAAAGCTTTCCAAAAATTTTTGATGAAATTCCATAAAGTTAGAGGCAAATATTTAGGAAACGTTCTCTTAAACCACAGACCTCAGGTGTTATTTTGGGAAAAACATATTCAAAAAGTTTAAAGCTGAATTGTTTTTCCAAGTATCTTAGAAAGTTTAAAGCATACTTTTGATAAGCTACAGGGTCACAGTTTTTATGTCTTTGGAATTTTAAACATCTCCAAGGGGCACAAGACCTCAGATCTACAATCTCTTGGATACCACAGACATGTTAAGGGGCCAGAATTCCACAGACATAATTTATCTGTGGGAGGCAATATAATGACCACCTGTGGAAGTTCATGCTCAAATCCCTGGAACCTGTGAATATGATACCATGCATGTCAAAAGTAATTCTGCAAATGTGAATAAACTGAGGGACTTCAGTGGGATAGATGGTCAAGGTGGGCCCAATCTAATCACATGAATCCTTAAAATTGGAGAATCTTTCTCTGTTGGAGTCAGAAAAAGAGATGATAATTAATGGAAGCAGCATCAGAAGAGGTGCTGCATTGCTAGCTTTCAAGACAGACGAAGGAGTTTACAGCCTTTAAAACCTAGAAAAATAATAAATTCTCTGGTAAAAATCAAAGGCTGTCATGTTAATCTTAAACACCTTTCAAGGGCTTAAAAAGGAAAACTGAGAAGCTTGAAGCCTGAAAACACACACATTGTATTAGCCTGTGTGATCTTATGTCCAGAGCACAGTTCAACTTAACAGGTAATTCTATGATTATGTTCTTCTAAACATTAATAAAACAACAATTAGACAACTGGTTGTGGATGGTCGTCTCCAGAACCCACTACTCCGTGCTCACAGATTGCAAAAGTTATTTTGACTATTAAACCAAAACAATTTTATCAGAGATCCATGTGGCAAATTCTCAGAAATGAAGTCTGCAAAACACACATTTAGTCTTAGAAACATTATGACTTTTGGTATAGTTGAAAACTTTTTTTTTTAGCATTCATTATTCAAAACTTACATTCAATGAAAAAAAAAGTATACTAGTGAATCACTATAGCCATTGTTGAAGCAGGATCATATCTAGGTATTCTTACATTTAAAATAAAAATGACACTTTTAATTCTACCTTGTTGTGACACACTGAATTATTTCCAAAGTATCACTGTATGAATGTGAACAATGATCCTGAGTTGTCAACTATGCCCAAGTGTGCAAGTTTCTGGCAGGTGTCCTTAACAAAGCCAAAACAAACATGCAAACCACTGTCATTGTTCCCATTGCTGGAATTGCTCTGTTTGAAGCAAAGGCAAATAAAAGTATAGCATTTCACCAAGGATCTAATTTCCTTGGTATGGCAAATCTGATTTTTTAAAGTCACTTACTGGAAAATTTGTGCCTCTGCTTTGAGGCTAATCATATGAAAGTCCAGATTTCACGTGTGTTATTTTCCTTTGCCTAAGGTTCCCCTGAAGTTTGAAAATCAGGCTCCTTTGATGCAATAAAAACATCTCAATCTAATAAACGAAATTTCAATTCAACAACTTTAAAGCACAGATATATCAACACAACCCACTTAAACAGTGACATGACTTGTTTGCCAATGAGAATATTCCTATTGCTAAGAGGCTGCCTCAAACCATCTGAGTTAATCAGGTGATGGTTTAAGTAGGAAGAGGTTAATTCAGGAGTTACCATAATATTCTGCAATAGAAAGGCTTGCTGATATTTCTTTTGACATCTTATACTCCAGGTGCTTAAGAAAGTATCACACCATTTGGCAAAAACTTCCTGTGGCTGAATCAGCAGAGTCAATGGAAAGACCTTATGTATGCTATTTGTACACAGACTGGGTTCTGGAGACACATGTTTCTTTAACATAAAAACTAGAAACAAGGGTTTAATGTACAACTAAATTTGCCTATATGCAGAGGTAACCTTAAATATCTTTGGTTTTTTCCTTTTAAATTTGCTGGTATAAAATACTTGACTAAAAACACTGATAAATACCAATATAACTGTGTATTGCTTTTAATTATGTAAACTTAGCCCTTTGATATCTTTTGCTACTAAAGCTAAATTCCCTATCCACTTCTAAATAAATTTTCAAATCTGCTCATCTTTATTTACTTACAGGCTAAACTATATATTTTAATGGTCTTTGGTATGAAAATACTGATGAGCAGTATCTTGTAACATTTGGCATAAAAATGGCATGCATGTATCAGTACTTATAGCAAATAAATCTTTGGAAAGAAAATAGTTACCATTTGCATATTAGCCCCTTTGGAGTTGATACACCATGAAGTAATACTATGCAACATTTTAGTTATAATTTCATACTTCAGACTTCAAAAAAGCTTGCTTTGGCCACTTAAGAAGAAGTCTTTGCTGCACACTATATATTTTATTCAATGAGACCAAAATATTTATTTTTGGTAAAAAGATTTTTTTTTCTCTCCAACAAGTAATTTCAACAATTTAAAAATACTTTAATACTGTAGAGTTGAATCACTTGCTGAAGAAAAAAATTATACTTAAAATTCTTTGGAACTATTTGCTGGTAAAGAAAGTATTATAACTTATTTTAAATGCTCTGGTAACAATAAGGTAGTTAACATCACTAATCTATTTTACTACAACAATCCATATAAACCCTATTGTTCTGGGTTAGTAACTACTTGTATATGCTTCATATTTATAGATGTTTCTAGCTAATTCAATTTGGGGGGAATTTAAATCAAAATTTCACTTTCTACTGAAAATTCTTTGGTAATAGGATTATTATGAAAAAGTCTGCATAAGAACAAAATGAAAAGGTAAAAAATGCACTGGTAAATAATTAGCAAATAGTTATACCCTAAAGTTCTATGGTAACTAAGGACCTATTTATCAGTAACCAAACAAACAGAATACTTTCCTCAAAGGCAGCAGTTCCTCCAATTCCTTCAGATCATCTTTTTAAGCAGTTAACAGTCAAATTCATATAGTCTTAGATACACCTTCATAATTATGATGTACATTTCATCTTTAGATTCTGTTTGCCTTTTTAGTTTAAAAGCAACACAATCTCATTGTATTCCTTGATTTTAGATACTGATAAAGTTGGTCCCACATACTTCTACTTATGAACTTAAAAAACACCAACCATACCCTGTCAATTTGCCCATGCTTCCATGAGGCAGCTCAAAAGTAACGAAATGTTCCCTGAGTACAGGAAAAAAAAATAATAATAACACTAGAATAACTTTAAAAGGAGGTAGTATAAAACAGGAGCTATAAAGGCAGGAGCAGCATCTTTCCTTGCCTCAGATTGTTCACCTAAAGCTCTGCATTTCTCGTCTTGCCATGAAGCCCATATTAGATAACTAAAGGGGACTTTGACTTTAGTTCAGAAATGGCTGCTGGCACTTCATGTTGGTCTGCTTCTGAACACATCCACCTTGGCCACAACCATGGATTAAAAAAAAAAAAACAAAAACCCGAAGATGTTTATCATCAGTCATTAGGATGACAACACTGGGACTATTATTCAGCAAAATTCTTTGCTTTTAGACCACAATTTAACATGACCCTGCCCCATTTATAAACAAAAGGTTTCAAGGGGAAACCCATTAAGATTCCTTTTAAAATGAGACTCAGAAGTCATTTCCAGAAAATTTGAAAAAAGTATTTTTAAAAGGCTATGGGCCCCCTCTCTCTATATCATGTTTATTTTTATCCCTTCCCACTGCTCCACATCTAGATAACTGTCTCCTGGCTGAGAGAAGGCCTATTCTATGTGGCTAAGTAAACAATTTGCTGATTTCAAACCAGCAAGAGGATTAACTCACTCCACGAGTTAGCATTCTTGCATTCTTCGTTCACAGAACTGACAATGAAGGAAGATTAAGAGAGTACCAAATTCTCCTAAGAACTAAAGAAAACAACAAATTGGGTGGGTCAAGCTCTGAATATTTATCCCTAAACAAAAACTACATTAAAAAAAAAAAAAAACCTTTGGTAAGATACTGTATGTCAAAATAGTTAACTGATAAAATACAAGAAACTCTTAAGGCAACTTTTTGTACTTCTGTTCTAAACAACTTCATGAATATTAAAAAGGTATAAGGCAAAAAATTTCACAATATATACTGGAAGGCACAGTTACCATGATAACTTAAGTTCATATTGTCCACTGTTAACTTATCTTCATTCTTAATATTTTATGAAATTTCTTCATCCCTTTAAGATAAACTGAGATTTTTGAGGGCAGGGAAAAAAAGACCCATTCTCTTCTGCATGGGATTTTATAGCTAATACTGGAAAAGTTGAGTATGCTTTGCAAACTAGAAAGTGCAGCCTTTGGCCAACTGTCAGGCAAATGGGAAGGTAGAAAAGGCACAGCTAGAGGAGGCTGAGGTGTGGAAGGTAGCTGATAAAGTACTCAGACTCTAATGCCCCAAACGTAACAACAGCCTTTTAAACAATATTAACCCATATATGCTACTGAAACAGTTCTATTCTCAAAAGAGATGCATTTGCTTTGGTTGTTCATTAAATTAAATAGTCCCACATCTTTCTTATTAGTCCTCACAGACAGAGGTGTTAAATTACTCAAAACATGAAGGTGTCATAATTATTAAAAAAATCAGAGCTTCAGATAAACATTCGTACTCATCTACCTGTATGACTCCTTTGATCACATACATTACACATACAGCAATGAAAACAAAATGCTACTAGGAAGTATCATTGGCTATGTAGCTGAGACAAACTATAACAAGGGGGTGACAAAGTTGTCTTCAGAGTTTGCCACTGGGCAAACTGAGGTAGATATTCAGCAAAGGGGCTTTTAAAAGTCTTCCCTTTGCTCCAGTGATATATATTTTATAATCTAGTCAAATATCTTGACTGTCCTCTTTCACATTGCTGACGATAAAACATTCAAAATACATGAGTTAAAAAAAAAAAAGACATTCAAAACAGGCTGAGATACCCAATAAGACATCAAGATTTTCATAAAAGGCTTTGGCTCCCTGTTCATTGTCCTTCGAACAGACTTCTTTTAGATGAGAATACCTGAGCATGGCTGTCTAGATTGGAAACTCATTTTTATCAAAGCATAGTACAGCAGATGGTGGCTGTGGAGCTGAAGAGGAAGTCTGCTCAGCAACCTGTGGCACTGCGGGGTCTTCACACTTCCTCATCGGGGGCCCCCCACCTGAATCACTGCCAGCAAGGCAATCAGAGGTTGGGGGTGTGGTACTTATAACGGAGGACAGGTGTATCTCATCATTGGACTCATGGGAGAACCTTCCGGAATCCCCAGTCTCATGGCTGCCTTCACTATTCGCTGAATGCTCAGTGTCAGCTGCAACACCAAAGGGTCTCGGGAAGTTGGCTGTCTGGCCTGGGGAGCTGGGGGAATCTTCATCACTGATTAACACGGTAGTGCCTGGCTGGTAAAAGCAGACAGCTTGAGTGAATCTTCTTTGAGGCTGGGTAAAAACAGACAAGGTAGCAATGAGATAGCAAACTGTTGATATAAAAGCAAAGGTGAGCATCATGTTTAGATCAGTAGTTTCTGACAGAGGGGTGAGAACATATCAGGATTGCCTGCAGCAAGTGAAATGTTAAAAACTTCAGGGACTTTTTTTTTTGTTGTTGTTATACAGTTGAACCCAGGGTTGCTCAATCACTAAGTTCTTTTATTTTTTATTTTGAGACACAGTGTTGCTAAAATAAATAAGGCTGGCCTTGGAACTAGTGATCCTCCTGCCTCAGCTCTCCGGTCACTGCCACCGCATCAGGCATCTTCTGTGATTTTTTTGATGCCCTTTCCTCCTGACATATCCCTTTTCCCATTGTTCCCACTCCCCAATGGAAACCACAGCTCTGATTACTACTCCAACTGTCCTCTTAGTTATCACTCACCACGGCTCTCCAAAGACATGCCCCGGATGAATATAATCATATCCATAAAAAACCACAGAAATTAAAATATTCATTAATTTCCCTCCCTTTTTAATTATTCTACAGACCATGGGTTGCTCAAGATGTTTTTCACATAGAGAGGTTACCTGCTCAACTTTTATCTTCTTAGAGTTTTGGAAAAAAAGCCATTTTCTCTTAGAGTTGTTTTTAATTATTGGACCATAGCTATTAATTATCAGGTCAGTTCCTCCCTGAAGAAGAAAAAAAAAAAAAAAGGAAATGTAAATATCTTGGCCTTAGAGATTTCAGCTTATCACAAATATTACACAAAAATTTTATGTTTTTTAAAAAAATCACAGATATCACTATTTCTTCAGGCAGAACACAACATATTTGGGGCATCTGTTAGTGATCAAAAAGAACTACAATGGGTTATTCTTAAGATGTACGTATGTTTACATAAAATTACTTTCTGCAAACACCTAACAAAAACTAATATAGACACATACAAGCAGAAGTATTTGGGGTAAAGTATAATGATTCTAAAACTTATTTTCAAATGAACCAGCAAACAAAAATTAGTTCATTTTCCAAACTTGTTTCTCTCCTTCACGTCAGGTCTCCACTGCTCTGCTTCTTTCATTTTTTTTTAAAGATTTTAAAAATACCTTTATTTATTTATATGTGGTGCTGAGAATCAAACCCACTGCCTCCTCACAAATACTAGGCAAGTGCTCTTCCACTGAGCCACAACACCAGTCCCTGCTTCTTTTTTTATTCTTCCTTTTTCCCTCCATATCCTTACCCTTTCTCATATGTACTTCCAAACTCACAACAGAAGCACAGTATGTTTTACCATTATTTAAACTTATTTCAAACTTTTCAATTCTAATGTTTTAGATTAATCTGAAATAAGCTGAAAGACCTGATTTGTATCAGAATGTAAAAGCTAGGGTCTGTGGTTATAAAGTTCAACAGTGGAGAGAATTTCCCTAACATTTGTAAGATTCCAGGTTCCATTCCCAAGACTGCAAAAAAAAAAAAAAAAAGCTAATTTATGGTTGCAAACAAGACAATAGAAGTAGCAAAAATCAATTCAGTATTATTTCTTCATAACATTGTATATGCTAGCACTGTGCTAGATATAAGTGAATCTGTTAAGTATAATTATATAAAATTTAATATAAAAATCGACTGAATTTTTAACATATTTTTTGTTAGTCTCAACTTTAGGAAAGGGTTAGGGAAGAACTTTTCTTCAAAGTCAAACAGTAAATATTTTGGGTTTTTCTCAATCCCCTGCCAAAAAAATGACCCTTTAAAAATATAAAAAAATTCTTGGTTCAGGGCACTGCCACACAAAAACATATTGGCCTGTAGTTATAGCACATTGGTTATGGGAGATATTGTAATAATGTACAATATCTAACGTTGCGATGTGGTGTCCATGATGCTGACCACTGTACCATTATTATATATACTGGCAAAGATACTAAGTCATGTCCTCCAAGGACATTTCTTTACTACATCCAACTAACTTGGGCCACAAAGGGTAGGATCTTTAGATTTCTATTTAGATACTCCATATTTTCAAAAATATTCTTTAGACGTGGGATGTTCTGATAATCAATTCAGTTCAACAATCAACCAGACTAAATGTAAAATGGATTAATAAAAAACTGTCCATCCGGTAAATATACGATAGTCCAAATATAGTAAATAGAAAGACTAATGACCAGGATACCTCTACTTAAGACATCACCATATGATCCCATGTAATTGGATCTGTGCTACCTTTTCACTTCTTTCTCTCATATCTATCTATACACACACACACACACACACACACACACACACACACACACACACATATATATATATATATCTTTTATCTATTCCCATCTTCTTCCAGGCATTTTATGTAAGAAAGGATTTGGGTAAAAAAGATTTTTTGGGGGGGTGGGTACTGGGGATTGAACTCAAGGGCACTCAACCACGGAGCCACATTCCCCAGACCTTTTTTGTATTCTGTTTAGAGACAGGGTCTCACTGAATTGCTTAGCACCTCGCTTTTGCTGAAGGTGAACTTTTTCTTCTATTTCATTAAGAGAAATATATATATATATATATATATATATATATATATATATATATATATATATAAAATACATTCAACATAAAATTTTTGTAAGTTAATTTTACATTTAAAGGAAAGAATCAAGGGCAGCATGATGCAACAAATCCTCCCTCAGCTCAATACCTTTGCATCAATGAAGTTGTTTGGCATAATCATTGGCATTAAGGAGTCTTCATTTTCTATAGCTCTTTCCAGGTTCTTTCCTACTTCATTTCCACTAGCTAAGGAGGCACTGGTACGAGACAACTGTTGAGTTCCATTCTGTGCTGTCTTGGAAGCAGATGATTTCCTGAAATATTGTTAAGAAGATGTAGGCAAACGTACCCAATTTGGCCCATATTCACAACTTTACAAACCATGGAGTTCTTCAATGCCCATTTCTCAGATATCTTCAGAAACCAAAGATTCAATTTTATTATTTCTTTATTGGTACTGAGAATTTAACCCAGGGGCACTTAACCACTGAGCTACATCCCCAGCCTTTTAAATTTTGAGACAGAGCCTCACTAAGCTGCTTAGGATCTCTCTAAATTGCTGAGGCTGGCCTTGAACTTGTGATCCTCCTGGGCCACCGGACTCACAGGTGTGTGCCATGGCGCCTGGCCCAAACATTCGATTTTTACTCCAACAATTGCTGCAAACTTTAATTGAAGAAACCTCTTCACTTCTTGACTTAGCATCTGCTTGTATAAAATTATTTTCTACAAGCAATAAAAACCTTTATATTTATGAAATGCCATTATCAATTATTGTGGTTTATCATTTATGCAGAATAAATTTTATTACCTTATATTTTCCCCTTCAAGTCTATAGACTGTCACACTAACCTAGCAATTTTCTTGCCAATTAATGATGGTAAATTTATAGTAGCACTTCTGCAAAATTTGCACATCCCCAAAACAATGTGCATAAATATTTTACATAAAGTTCTTAAAGCAAAAAAATTGGACAATAAAACTGTAAAGCCAGTTCATTATGCACAAAGATGTTTGAACTTTTTCATTAATATGTTTTGCAGACATCTTTCTACGTAAATAAGTACCAAACTGAAAAATCTATGCCAATTGAGGGAGATTATTGAAAAACAGACTGATTTTGTTTGTTTGTTTGTTTAAGAAAGAACCTTAAATAAAACAAAACAAAGAAAGTATCTTGCTGGGAGTTCTCAGCAGCTTGGGAGGCTGAGGCAGGAGGACTGAGAGTTCAAAGCTAGCCTCAGCAATTTAGCAAGGTTCTGTCTCTAAATAAAATATTAAAAGGGGGCTGAGGATCTTGCTCAGTTGTTAAATGTCCTTGGGTTCCATGCTTGGTACCAAACCAGACAAACAAAAAAACTTCAGAAAATTAATGAAAGCAAATGACAAAATTTTTATAAAAAGTTAAAAATAGTCACATTCACTAAAGGCAAGTTACTAGTGAAAATTTAGTCAGTCAAACCACAGATGGAATTGCCTAACAGAGTTTATAGATTAAACCCCTAATTCTTATTCATTATGCATTTGTCTTAATCCTTGTATAGAGATTCCCAATCATATGTCCTATGCTGTTCTTAGTGACTCAGGCAATTCTTGTATTGCTATTTAAACATGAAATATTCCAGATAATAAAGAAACCTCTCAAGAAGCAGATACACCAGATTAAGGTTCCATTAAATCCAAAACCCAAACCAATCTCAAAGGTTTACTTTGTGCTTCTCAAAATACTAAGGAAATGAGGAAACTGGGTCCTCATTTAATATTTTATTGGCATAGTAATTGTTTTCAATTGGCAAGAAAATAATCACCCCACAAAATGAGCATATGCTAAGTTGTGAGAACCCAGTAACCCTGCATTTATTTTAAAGTGGAAAAATTCCAGTTATTCTACAGGGTACTTCATTTCAATTTGTTTCCTATGGTTAGTACAATTTAAATGTTTTTTTTTTTTTTTTAAACTATCCATCATCTCCAGCAATGGACACATACCTGGCTTTACTTCGGTATATCAAGATGAGCACACAGATGAGGATGCAGGTCAAGGCTATGCCAACACCCACGGCAATGCCTGTCATTGACTTCTGGTCCAGATGGTAATAGCCTGAATAAACTAGAGGGGGAGCACATTTACTCAGATCAATCAGGAAAAAATATTTTATTTATCTTAATTCTCAGGGTAGATATTTGCTTTTCTATAAATTCTCTTCCTCTCATAGGAAAGTATTGATGTTATCCATATCTACACAGAAAAGTCATGAATTAATCTTCTAATTAGGATTTTAGAAATCAGTGTTTTCCAATATAAAGATTCTGTTTTAGATATCATATTATTATATGTAACATGAACATTAATTCATAACTTACAATACTAAAAGGCACAAAACAGATGCTCTTTAATGGACAAAGAATAGCTTTCATGTCATGTTGCCTTAAAAGTGGTTTGTAGGTTGAAGAGTAGTGTTCACCTATGCACATGAGAACAGGGTTTCTGAAACTTTACTGCGCACATGGTTCAGAAAGAGATAGGCTAAAATGAAGATTCTGGTTCACTAAGTCTGGGGTGCAGCCTGTGATTCTGCATGTTAATGCTTAACTGATATCCATGATGCTGGTTCCCAGATCACTCTAAACAGGGTATCTGAGAAGCAAACATGAATCCTGTTTTCCCCTTCCTCTGATTAGATGGTAGCTACAGTGGCTACCTTCTTTCTCTTCCTAAAAAAGACTGCCCTGCCCTTCTCTCTCTCACACACACAGCACTGAAGGACTTTTCTGTGGAGCTAAGGATCCTTAATCCTTTCTTAAGTTTATCAGGCATTTTTTCCTTTTAACGTTGTCCCTACTTCTCCAAAGAAGGGGAGGAAAGGGAGGGGTCTTGAACCACACTTCCTTCAGGTGGAAAGCTGCACTGGAGTGAGGGTGGCTCTTTAAAGATAATTTTTCCAATTGCTTTTCTGGAGAGAAACAACTTTCTTTCCACAAAGGCTGTTTTTCTGTGGTGAAAACTCTTAATGAAAACCATGTTCTTCTGAGACTGAACTCCACAACCACCCTTGTGGTTTACTTCTGTGGAATCTCCCAGGAAGCTTGGTCTCTTCTGTTTATAGGTGGAGCAACTCCTCTACCCTGGTGGTTGCTCAACTGGGAAAAGAAATGATTGGGAGCATAGTGGTCTGAAAACTGCAGTTAATTCTGAGGTGATTTTGCCTCGTAGGAGTACAAAGAAGAGCTATGCAGTCTTATAACATCAGAACCTCGCCAGTAATAATTTTAACAAACTGAGTGTAGGTTTAGGGATATGGCAATTGTATGAGCTGAAAGAAGTATAAGGAAACTGAAACTTCTTTTTTTTTCCTTAAGGAAAAAAATCAGGGACGATGGCAGTATACAGACCTTTGGCATCAGCAGAATCCAAACGCTTGGGCCTCTGATTTGATTCAGAAGTTTCCTTGGGAAGTACTGCCAGCTCTACAGAATTTGAAAAGGGTCCTTCTCCCACCTCATTGGATGCTGATATCTTGACAATGTATACATTTCCTGCCACCAGGTTTTCTAGCAATGCCATAGTTATTGCCCCTGTAAATACATGAATTTAAAATTAAGTACACTTTTACAATCATGCAAACATGGTTCTTTATTTTTATAATATTTATCCAATTATAAAAATGGCATATTTTCATTATAGTACATTTAGAAAATATAAATAAAAACAAAGTTACAATTTCCCATTGTTAACATTATAATGTTTTGTATGTATGCAAAAACATGTATGAACACATATTTACTGCATTCATTTTTATATCTTAGAGTTTTCACTTAACATTGTATTTACCTATTTAAAATAACAGGTTTATATTATTTATATTATGTGTGTGTATACATATGTAAAGTTTTACTTTTTTTAGAAGGCATAAAGAACATTTAATTATGTGACATTTCAAACACATATAAAGAGACAAAGGCACACGTAATAAACCTAGATCAACAATTATAATCTAAAAATCCAATGTTAGGAGTTTTTCTCCTTATCAGAAGTGTTTAAACTACTTATGGTAATAGCTACGATAGATGATCTTGTTCTTTCTTCTTAAATGAGAAACAACACAATTATTTTTGAAAGCATGAAAGTATCTTTCATGCATCTATCATTATCTCAGATTTCTTCAAGGTAAAGAGGAAAGAAAATGCAAAGTTCCTTCGGAACCTCAAAGTGCTGAAGACCCAGATGTCAGATTATCAAAATGACCACAAGCAATCTGGCTAAAGTCTACTTCTCTCCAAAAATAATCATCATTTGAATTTGCATATAATATGTAGTTTCTACAGGTATTTTCTCTTTGGCATAATTGCTAACAAGGATTCCTGTCTGGGCCCTGCCATTTCTTGAGGGGTCTTTCTGTTTTGTTCTGTCACTGCACTGAAGGATATTTCTTACAAGAGACTGCCACCCTAGGAACTACTCCTAATGTTAGGAAATTCAACCACAATTCAACCAGCACTGCCTTTATGGGTGGATGTGCACAGGAAATTCTAGCTTTCCTGGGGGTTTCATCTTTCTCCTAAAGCAAGGCATCCTGACAATAGTTTCAAAGGGCTCAAAATAGCTTGTTGCAGTCACCCCTAAGCCAGAGTTGGCTGCTCCTGCAAGTATGCTGAAGTGAAGTGTGGGGTGATCTCAGAGCCAAGGTCATAACACAGAGGCTACCTCTGAGGTCACATGGTAGTGGGAGGCAGCCGAACCACCAGTGGCAATGCCAGGAGTCTGACACCACTTGTTTTCATGTTCTCTGGTTGCATTGGCCTCAAAAAGAGTGTGAATTATTTGAGTACACAACTGTTAAATAAACAAACTAACCCCTATTTAGAATCAGGAAGAGTTATTATGTTCTTAGGCAGATACATTAAAAAACAAAGATGTATTTGTGACATGTTACAATCAGCTAGAAGGAAAACATTTCACTTTCTTCAAAACTGAGATATAAATAAATAGTTTCCTTTTTATAATAGAATAATTAAATTTTTACAAATGCTTGGCAAAAACCAATTGTACCAGAAATTAAAAGTCTTTTCTTTTAATTCAAATTTTATAAATGGATCAGCAGTCACTTCCCCCAAGAAAAAGTATCTTCATTTAGAAAAAAAGGAAACTATAACATTCTAGTTCCCCTATGACAGACTCAAAGCATTTCCCAAAGGTAAAACTGATCTGACTGTCCCCATATTCTCTCAGCAGACTATTTCTGAGTGTGATGATCTATCCACTGACTTATACACAATTGACAATTCAGCTAGACCAGGAGTTTCACAGATCTTCAGTGTGAGAGGCACAGTGCTGGACCAATGTGGACCCATTCTTGGCATGGTGCCAAGTCATCTGTGACTTACAATGGTACCTTCTTTGTGGGGAAATACTTCCCACCTCATTTGATTATTATAAGAATTAAACTAGGGCTGGGGATGTGGCTCAAGCGGCAGCAAGCTCGCCTGGCATGTGTGCGGCCCGGGTTCGATCCTCAGCACCACATACAAACAAAGATGTTGTGTCTGCCGAAAACTAAATAAATAAATAAATAAATATATATTTTTTTATCATCATCTTTTTTTTTGTATATATATTTTTTAATTTTTTATTGTTGGTTGTTCAAAACATTACAAATTTCTTGACATATCATATTCCACACTTTGATTCAAGTGGGTTATGAACTCCCACCTTCCCCCCATACACAGATTGCAGAATCACATCAGTTACACATCCATTGATTTACATATTGCCATACTAGTGTCTGTTGTGCTCCGCTGCCTTTCCCATCCTCCACCCAATAAATAAATATTAAAAAAAAAAAAAAAAAAGAATTAAACTAACCCTGGCAGGTGTCTGACATGAGTGTATATGTACAAAAAAAAAAAAAAAAAAAAAGCTTGCTTTCTCACTCTGATTTCTCCTCTTCTACTTCTGGTGGATAACAAAAAAAAATGTTTTTCATATCTGAACATTTTAAGTTTGATACCAGAATGCTCTGTACAAGGCAATTTTTAGCTGAACTTACATTAAATGGCAGCTGAACAGTATAAGTTTTTTGTGACCAAAGACTATTAATTTAATTTTTAGTGTTTATTTTTTAGTTTTCGGCGGACACATCTTTGTTTGTATGTGGTGCTGAGGATCGAACCCGGGCCGCACGCATGCCAGGTGAGCGCGCTACCGCTTGAGCCACATCCCCAGCCCCTATTAATTTAAAATATGAAGACAGAGGCTATCCAACCTCTCCACTTGGATATCTAAGAGGCACCTCAAATCAAACATGTTTAAAATCAAACCCTTGATTTCCCCTCACTGATTTGGTTCTCTTTTTCTCACTCCCTTCCCCTGCCCCACCGTCTACCAGCAAGCCTGGTAGGTTTTCTTTCAAAATTTGTTCCAAGAGCTTCTTGTTCACTTCACTATCACTATACCCTGTCCATACCCACATCAACTCTCACAGGTAGACCTGCCTATTAAATGGTCTCCTAACTTTTGCTCTCATCTCTTCATACTCAACTTTTCAGGTAGTTTGCCTAGAACAATCCTTCTAAAATGAAGATCGAATCAGTAGTCTCCAATATCTTCCCTCTTAAAATAAAATCCATGATTCACAAAATCTGGTCTGTAAGATCTGCCCTGGTTACCTCCTTCTCTCATTTCTTACTGCTTGCTTTTCCCCTCACTCTAACTTTCCTGGCCTTGTTTTTCCTCAAGCCCTCTGCCTCAGGGTCTTTGCACTTTCCTCATATACCAATATGGCTATGCTACATGTGGTTTCTTTGTCTGTTTCCCCATTTCATCTTTCTTTATATCATTTATGACACTACCTGAAAATGTAGACATTTGTAAAAATGTTTGTTACCTGGGATACAAGCTCCATTGGGGGGCAGGGATTTTTGTTTGTTTTGTTTTGTTTTCACTGTGGTGGTATAGCAAGTTCCTAGAACAGAGCCTGGCACATGGTAATTACTCAATAAAACTTTGTTTAATAAATGAATATGTTCCTACTATGAGTAGTCAAATTCTTTTGGCGAACACTGAATTAAATGGAATCCTTTATTATAGAATTTCAAATTTCCAATGTGAACCTCTAATAGGAGAACATGGTGATTCTCAAACTTATTTACAATCATGGAAAAAATTTTTCTGAAGGAGGAGCATCTTTATAATCTCAGGAAAAACATAAAGAACAAAGTTAAGGAATTGCTGAGACAGGGCATAATTTTCTTCCAATGTCTTTTAGATTTAAAACTAATTGAGTAGTTTGTGCTGATTTATAACATACCAGGAAGGTAAAGGCTATAATTTCTGATCCACTTTAAATTACATGCAAGTATGACATGGTACCACTTTTTTGCTCCACCATGCTTCCTTGTACCATTTTTAGCCACAAATACCATGTACTCACCAGAAATACTTTTGATTCATGAAAAAGTCTTATTCCATTTGGTATTAAATATGCAAATTAAGTATATAAATATATATAAAGCTAATATATATATTATTATATATGTAGTAGAAAAATACATTCTTCTTTTCCTCCAATGTTTTCTATATTTTTGCCTTTCTAAAAGTTCCAATGTTTAGAAAAGACAATTTTACATTTATTTTTTCTTCAAATATCATGTTGTATTTTTTTCATTAAATATGAATCAATTCCTTTATATTTTTCTCTCAAATAAGTACAACTGTTTTTTACTTATGCTGTTTATTTGTTCTTTATGAATCACTGGCATTAGCTATGAAAAGGGTTTTCTGCATTCAACAAACGATAAAAGCTTTTCACTGAGACTGTTTCTTAAGATTGCATCAAGCAGCATGTGAGATTATTCTTTCTTGTGCCTGATTATAGTTAGAAAAGTTTACATAGCTGTAAAAACCTGCTATTACAATCCATTTTGCTATGGAGACATCAATAAAGTAAAAAATGTTATTTTTTGATTTTTCAAACTTAAAAATGAATGAACTTGAAAAGAGAACAAATATTGTTTCTTTTTTGGCAGGTACAAAGAACTAAAAGGTATTTGTTCATGTGATCAAAATTCCTTTTTTTTTTTTTTTGAGAGAGAGAGAATTTTAATATTTAGTTTTTAGTTTTCGGCCGACACAACATCTTTGTTTGTATGTGATGCTGAGGATCGAACCCAGGCCGCACGCATGCCACGCGAGCGAGCTACCACTTGAGCCACATCCCCAGCCCATGATCAAAATTCTTATTAAAGACTCTTCCTCATTAAGTCAGGTTTGTCATTTGGTTAAGTATTGCATCAATAAGCCATTTTGGAACTGAAAAACTGAAACTGAATTAAACATTTTTGGAAAATGATAGGCTGAGGCATTTTAGTGAATTTGCCCAATGAATCATGCCTCCATCTGCTCATTCCTTTTGGATGCCCCATCCACAAAAACTTTGGGCTTGGCCATGTGAGTTGCTCTGTCCAGTGGGATATCCGTGACTGTGATGCAAGTAGAGGTTCATAAAGGTTTGATCCTGGGGCTTTCTCCCTCTCGTTCTGATTTTGAAACCCTCCCTTACTGTTTTGAGATTCTCACACCCTATCCAAACTGAGATGGCTGCATTCTCTTGAGAGGCCAACAGAACTGCCCAGCTGATTCTAGTCGAAACTGCTGACTGAAGGAATTATTAGAAAATAAATAGTTAAGTTTTAGAGTGGTTTGTGAGGCAGCAATAGTGATGAACAAATGTAAAGTTAATAGCTATCAAATACTTACTACTTTCAAGTCTCTTCAGTAATCAGGAAACCAGGACTTAGTGAGCCTTCTGATATTGAAAACTATGGATATACAATTATCGAAACTCCAGCTAAAGTTAACATTCACTTACTTTACAATTACATGCAAACAAATGTTTTTAAAGTTCACCTTCTTATTTAGGAAAATATTCCCCTTCAATGGTAAACTTTGTGTTGAAATGTCCAACATTGTATTATGTTTACAATATGTGGATGGCCAACAAAATTCCTTTTTTAAATAATATTCTTTTTAGTTATAGTTGAGCATGTTTGATTTGTTTATTTTTATGTGGTGCTGAGGATTGAACCCAGCACCTCACTCGTGCTAGGCAAGCGCTCTACCCCTAAGCTACAACCCCAGCCCTTTTTAAATCCTTCTTAAGCTTTTAAGTGCTTGGCAATTCTTTCCTCAGCACGTCTGAATTAAGGAAGTGCCAAAATAATGAAGTTTTATTGTTTATATAATGATCCATCTAAAAACCTGCATATGGAACTTGTCCAAATGAAAGCTTAAAGATTTTAAAAAGGAGCCAGGGGGCTGTGGCTCAGTGGTAGAGCACTTGCCTAGTATGCTTGAGGCACTGGGTTCAATCCTCAGCACCACATAAAAATTGTGCGGTGGCACATGCCTGTATCCCAGCAGCTTGGGAGGCTGAGGCATTAAGCAGCTCAGTGAGACCTCTGCCCAGCTGATTCTAGTCGAAACTGCTGACTGAAGGAATTATAAGAAAATATAATAGTTAAGTTTTAGAGTGGTTTGTGAGGCAGCAATAGTGATGAACAAATGTAAAGTGAGGCTTAGTGAGGCGTTAAGCAGCTCAGTGAGACCTCATCTCTAAATAAAATACAAAATAGGGCTGGGGATGTGGCTCAGTGACCTTGAGTTCAATCCCCCTTTAAAAAAGAATACAGAGTTTGGGAATTTAATTTTTCTCAAATAAAAATAATGTTTAAAAGTACTAAATACACTGTCATTAAGTCCTAATAATATTTTCCCTCTACTTAAGTGGACCCTAACATTCATTTGGGTCAATTTATTTGCATGTGTACCATTTTTGTAGGAGTACAAATGTCTTTCCCTTAAACCAGGTCTTCTTCCAGGACTGCCTACTCCAGAGCAAGATGCAGCACCACCAGAAACATCCTAATTACCGATAGTAATTCTCCCTCCCTTAGTTCTCTCTTCCTCCCATCCAAGCTATTAAGTCCTGTCCATTTTACCTCCTTAGTTTCTTTCAGCCATCCTTTCTTTTCTACCTCTATCCTCTTGTCCTAGTCCAGGTTTAACATCCCTTTCCCAAACTATAAAAAAAAAAAAAAATAGTCACCTCCCCACTAGGAGTATTTTGCATTCCTCTAACCCCACTCCTCCCCAGCCAAATCTCTTCTATTGTAAAAATGATCATTCTGAAACAAGTCAAAGGCTTCCCAATAAATAAAACCAAAATCTTTTTTTTTTTAATTTTAATATTTATTTTTCAGTTTTTCGGCAGACACAACATCTTTGTTTGTATGTGGTGCTGAGGATCAAACCTGGGCCGCACACATGCCAGGCGAACGCACTACCGCTTGAGCCACATCCCCAGCCCAAACCAAAATCTTTAATAATTTGTTACTTCACACATAAAAATATAAATTCAAAACAAAACTCTGGATCCCTCTTTCCCTTTCTTTCCTTATATCACTAATAACCTTACTTTTCATCCTCCTTAATAATTCATGATTATGAGAAGTTTGAAGCCAGCCTTGGCAACTTAGTGAGACCCTGCCTCAAAATAAAAAGGAAAAAAAGGAATGGGGGATACATCTCAGTAGTAGAGCTCTTGTCTGGCATATATGAGGCCCTGGGTTCAACCCTAGAACTGTAAAATAAAAAAGGAAATAAATAATTTATGACTATATTTACCTTCTCGGTGTAGAACCTGCCACTCTCCTGCAATCCAGGCCTTCCTGGAGGCATACAAGATAGTATAGCGTGTCACAACTGTCTCCGGGCCATCAGGGGGTTTCCAGGAAACCAGGGCAGTGTCATCTTCTATTAATGTCACTTTAACTCCAACTGGTGGGCCTGCTGGTGCTGTGTACACATGTAAAACATATAAGTAGGATAAAATGGTTCATAAACACTCAAATGCCTGGCTGATAGACTGGTAAGCTTGGAAAATAGTTGGAAAAACTAGAAACTATTTTTTTTAAAAATCTAAAAATTATAGTTTCTAAAGATCATTAAAGATAATGGTGATAATGGTAAAGAACTTTCCCCCCCTCCTTTTCCTGAAAGCTAATTTAATTTTTATGTTTAAAGGATAAAAAAGCATAAAAGAGATAATAGCATCCTAGATTGGAACTTATTAAGTCAAAGGGATTATATTTTTAAGACACTTGAAATGTTTTTGCTAAATTGCTAACTAGGAAGGTTTACAGTTCTATCACATAGTAAGTGCCACCCCATCAGTTACTGAACATGAATTGTGGTTCCTACTAACAATATATAGAACCATGACTTAACGGGATCTAGAACTCAGAAGAAAATGCTTCTGAGACCAAAACATTTATTTCCCCAACATGTTGTAAATCCGTGAGTTTAACAGGGTAGACTAAAGTCTAATAATTTATAATGGTGAAAAGTAGTAAGACCTTGGAATCTTAGTTGACTCACTCTTCAATATGAGCTAAACATTTGAAGAGCTGTTTTGGGGTCCACATTTCCTATGGAATAATGCCAAAACCATATCAACAAAGCCCAGTGTTCACTGACATGTTTCTTGCTCTCTTTCAACATACTTAAAATAGAGCAGGAACACTCCTCCTAGATCATCTAGTTCTTCACCCTCATTTGAGAAACGGAAACACAGGTTTAGAGACATGAAATATCTCAGCTAGAGCCATAAATGAGCCTCAGAACTCACGCTCAATCAAATATATTCACTGAGCATAGCATCAAGCTCATAGAAACAAGCTCCAGGGGCTGGGGTTGTGGCTTAGTGGTAGAGCACCTGCCTAGCATGAACAAGGCACCGGGTTCGATCCTCAGCATCACATAAAAATAAATAAATAAAGGTATTGTGTCCAACTACAACTAAAAAAAGAAAAAGAAAAAAAGAAACAGGTTCCACTGTGGGTTCCTAGGAGCATTAGCAAACATCATTATTCACTGACTTCCATTTTCAATTATTTGTGTGTAAGTGGCAACTAGGATAGTATCCTTCTCAAAATAATATACATATTTCTAAAAATTCCTTTAAAAATATTTTTGAAGATAAAACCCAGAATGAAAGTGTTTTCTTTACCTTCTGGAAGTGTGGAATGATAGACTACAGGGCTCCAGGGACTGGAAAGCTGATCCACATGCAATCGAACAGCAAATTCATATTTAGTGTTTGGTTCTAGACCTTGAACCAACATGTGAGTTTCTGATCTATAATAAACAGTAATGAAGTTGTTAATTCCAGAAGCCCACTGTTTCTAAAAGATTGTCAGTTTTTCCTAACCAACAGGTAGAACATACCATCACTAGCTCATTTTCTTTAAAAACATTTTTTCAAACTATAAGAGCAATCTAATGTATTAAAAAATACTACATTTAGTATTATTCTATAGAAATAATCCTACAAGTTGCCTCTCTGAGAAGAAACCAGAAAATTAACTACAGAAATGTCCCAATACAAAGAGACTTCCCCAGAAATACTGGAAGCCCAATTATTCTTTCAAAGCATCATGATGACACTGGGCATGGTGCTGCATGCCCGCAATCCCAGCAACTTGGGAGGCAGAAGCAGGAGGATAGCAAGTTACAGGTCAGTCTCAGCAACTTAGTGAGACCCTGTTTTAAAATAAAAAATAAAAAGGACTGGGGATGTGGCTCAGTGGTAAAAGTATCCCTGGGTTCAACCACCAGGACACCCCCCCATCCCCCAATGATGACCATTTTTGTAACTCTAACCTACAAAACAGAATGACAGCCTTATTTTTTTTGATGCCCATATGCAAATGGTATTTTTTTTTCTCTAAACATGCTGAGTTTAGCTACTTGAAAATAATAATAGCTTCTTGCCTAATCATGTTGCTGAGAAGTTTTTTTTTTTAATCACATGCAAATTAACTTTAAAAAGTGCAGTTTTCAGAACTGAATGTGGTAAAAATTGGGAGGCAAAACTCCCAGCATTTTAGAAGTAAGATAAATGCTCACAGCTGAATCCCAAACTGGGATCAAGACAGTAAAAAGTAAGCATGAATGGGGAGAAAGGCAAAGATAACCACCATTAACAGAAGCTACGTACGTTTGCAGATACAGAACCAAAGAAGCATTCTGTAGGCCAACAGGGTTACAGCGGATGGTGTAGTTAATGATTTGCGCGGTAGTGAACGCTGGCCTCCTCCAGTGCAGGAAGATGGAAGAGGAGGTGTTAGCCTTCGCATAGAGATGGTGTGGTGGTGGTGGAGGAGGGACCATGCGATCTCGAACAGCTATTGAAAAGATAACATTAATTCACTGCATGATACAAGGTTTAATGTAGAAAGCGGTAAAATCAGAATATTCAATTGTGTAAGTTGATCGTAGATCATTTTTCCACCAGAAACTCATGGTCTGGAGTTACCTCTCCCAAACCTAAACAACTCTTAACTTTAAGTTAGGTAAGGAGTCAAATACTGTCAATACTGAATAGACAGGACAACAAAGTTGAGCTACTAGCCAAAGACATTAAGCAAAAACAACATCCTCTTTAGTAGCAATTAAACAGAATAACAGTTGGAGAGAAACCATTAGCTTCAAGCTGAAAGCAGACAAAAGAAAATTCAGTGTGTAGGTTTTCAGTGGTTATTTTTCCCAGTTAATTTCTAACATTTTTTTCCTTGCAAAATTAACATAAGTACATATAATTTTAAAATCTTACTTAAATATTTACTGAGCACCTACTTGGCTCAAGATACTGTGCTACGCAGCATGAAGTATATAAAAGTTAACCACCAAAGATTCCAAGTAGTAATGAGACTAAAATTTCAAGGAGAAGAACAGGGTGGGTGATTAATCACCACACCTCTCACGTACACACGCATCCAGGTGTGCTGACGGTCTGGTCAGCCTGGTAGCCATCTTCTATGTTGTTGTAAGCCAGCAGTCTCACATGGTATTTTCTTCTGGGGTCTACAGAGAAATCAAAATGTAACTGTGAGGACCAGCCCTCTGGATATGAGCAAGTGTTCTGGACAGAGCCTTTCTAGATTTTAGTTTTAAAACCCTCTTAATGCATGGACGGTTTAAGGAAAATGAAATTTTTCTTCTTCTCCCTACATGGCATGACTTAGGGATCCACTTGGTATGGCACTGCTACTGTGATCCAAAACTTCGAACTTTACAGTACTTCACCTAATTTCCAATGATCTCTATCACATCCACTCCTCCCCTACATCCTCCTCCTCAAATGACTAGATTCTTAATTTTATTTTTTTAAAGAGAGAGAGAGAGAGAGAGAGAGAGAGAGAGAGAGAGAGAATTTTAATATTTATTTTTTAGTTTTCGGCGGACACAACATCTTTGTTTGTATGTGGTACTGAGGATCAAACCTGGGCTGCACACATGCCAGGCGAGCACGCTACCGCTTGAGCCACATCCCCAGCCCTAGATTCTTAATTTTAAAAGACCTGAGTTGGGCTGGGGTTGTAGCTCAGTGGAAGAGCGTTTGCCTAGCATGTATGAGGCACTGGGTTTGATTCTTCAGCACCACATTTAAATAACTAAAATAAAGGGTCCATCAATAACTAAAAATATTTTTTAAAAAGACCTGAGTTAAAAGTATTACAGGAGGTCATATTATGAAGACTCCATACTATAACTATGAAGAAGTTTTGTATTTAAGACTCCATACTATGTTATAACTATGAAGAAGTTTTGTATTTTTACAGTTATATACCTAAAACCACGGAAATCAAAGTAAGATTGTTTTCTCCCTCAGTGTTAAGGTAAATTACAAATGACATCTTTTAGTACCTTTGAGAACTTATAGTTAGGTGTCCTTCAAGTTTTAAATTTGTCTTAAGTATAACATTTTAATAAATTACATTTTCAAGTATAAATTCAAGAAAGATGGGTTAGCGCTCCCTCTACTGGTGCCTATTAACTACTGCAACACTAACACTAAAATCTGATCCATATATTTTAAAACCATTTTTTTCAGGGCTTTGGGGAAATAAATGGTTATAATTTTGAACTGATACACTTTTTAAAGTTGTCAGAGGTTAACAATATAAATATGCTTAAAGTTAATTGTAATAACATTTAACTATAAAGTACTTAAGGTAAAATTAAATACTACTCAGAAATAATGTATTTTTCTATTATATGTCTCTTAATGACAAACACAAATTGAATATTTTATTAACAACCTTAATAAATATATGTTCAGTGTAACTTAAATAATAAAAATACTAGAGTAAATTCAAACATTTAAAACTTCAAAAGTAAAATGTAAGTTTTATAAAACTTTCAATTTTGTAAACCTTATAAATGTATTATAATATTTACAATAATGTTCTAAAGTATGACATTCTCATTTCCACTTGTTAGCATCACAAGAAGAAAATTTTCTACAACTTAGAAAGTTTCAGTATTTCCTAGATAGAAAGGTAGGAAAACTAATAACATTTGACTATCTCATAGAATAAATCTTTCGAATACAATGTCTTATTTGACATTTACAAAACTTTAAAGTAAAACTTCAAAGTGTGTGTTATTCCTGTTTTATAAACTATGGTACATGGGTGTCGTGAGCCATCTGTGGGCTGTGTGTGAGCCATGCACATTTCAGGGTATGAGGGGACTGGTCTGGCATTACCCGCTTTTTGGGCTATGCGATGCATGTGGGCCTTTTCTCCTTTTCTCTCGCTATACTTGTGATCCTGCACACTCCCTGAGGTGGGTGTGGCTTTCCAAGATGTCAATCAACTTGCTGACCACAAGACATCACCAAGCAAGACTCCACCTTTCGAAACTCGATCCCTTGCCTTATTTGGGTGGAATAGTCTATGAATGGCTTTTCCCCAGTAAACAGGGGGAATTTCAGGTGTGCTCTCTCTTTTGCCTCTTGCCTCCCTTGCTCCCTTACCTTCCAGTGTGGAAGCTGACACCTGGGGTCTCAGAGCCATCCCTAACCCCAAAAAAGGTATTTCTGTGTTTGTGTGGATTTTTAGTTGCCAACCTGGCCAGCTGGTGACACATGGGTGTTAAGGGGAATGTCATCAAAGGTCATGAAAGCTGAGCCAAGAACTTGTGGGTATTTCTATGACAGAGTACAGGGCTTCTAAGTTTACACAAACACATGTCTATCACAAGTGAGTTTGTCTCCTTATAACAAATTTCAAAACAGATGTTTGAACAGCTTATAATTATCAGCAAACATGTTCACATTTGGATTTCATGACTGAAACTGTTTCTAAGTAAGCACTAAAATTTTAAACTTCAAAAGGTTTTGGTTTAGATTGATAGCTGTATAATTTGGATCTAATTTATTTTTTCTATACTCCTTACATTTTGCTGTACCTTCCAGTCAACTGGATTCTGGGTTCAATATTACATATACTCCCTCTGAATTGGCACAAATAGAATTCAATTAGCTTTTTGCATCATAGTTCTTTATTCATAGTGCAACTTTGAAAAACATTTCTCTACCCTCTCTTTAGGGAAGCACTCTCATGTAAAGTACCTTGCCAGGTATGCATCAGGTACAGCCAAGGAAACAAAAGCAGATTCTCCCTCAAAGCAGCTCACGTTCTCTTTAGAGAGCCAAAGATGGATAGCTGATTGTGATAGAGTGTGAGTATGGGTGGAGAAATCAATCATTTTTCAATGCAACCCCCCTATTTACTGGGGAATCTTAGTCAACACTGCATGAATACTTCTCTGGAATGGTCACGTTTTGTTTTCTTTATTAAATTATTTATTTATTCTAATTTGTTATACATGATGGCAGAATGCTGTTCATTTAATATGACAGATATAGAGTACAAATTTTCAAGTCACTGATTGTACACAAAATATTTTCACACCATTCGTATCTTCATACATGTACTTAGGGTAATGATGTCTAACTCATGAAATGGTTAGTTTTTACTAGTCCTTAAAATCGTGTCTTCAGCTTTCCCTTTATCCTCTTTAAGATATAAACTCCATACACTAAATTTTAAAAAGTAATAAACATTTTTTGTTGATCAGACAGATGCAATTTATGTGTCTGAAAGATGAAAGAACAGAGTTGCTCTTTTAATGCCCTGGGACCTGCCTGCTGCCCACTGAGGGCAGACTCATAAAAGCCCCATGCAAGCAGAGCAGCACTTCTGAGGCCAGTGAAAACCATCCAGGTATCCTGGAGTCTCTAGGGCCAGGCTCTTTCCCATGCTGGTTTACCTAAGGTCAGGAACAGACAAACCACAAAATAGGAAAATCAACTACATTAAAGTACAAGATCCTTTTTGCCCAAACAAAAACAGAATAAGTATAGAAAACAGGACATACCACATAGAAAAAATAAAGGAGAAGGAAAACCCATTCACATTTGTTCATGTGTGAGCTACTCATTATGCCATACAAAGAATCTCATTTAAAAAAAATCAAAATGAGAGGTTAAAGGCAAAACTGAGTTTTGGACCACGTGGATCTGCCAAAGTAGCCACATCGTCCTCTTCAGCTTTAAATAACCTGATTCTAACTACTATATTATTTTAGTTTGTCAATCCAGAGACCTTGCAACAACCTGACTCATTCTTGTTTATCAATGTGTTAGAAATTTGACTTCATATACTATTTGTAAATTTAAGAGAAGAACCAGGGACCACGGTGCTCAAGTTATGATGAGCATTATCAAGTAATGAGAGTTGCCAGCTTAGAAAGAAAATAGAGACGAATTAAAGGAATTAAGAATACCGAGTAAAAACCAAAAACTTTTAGAACCCACATATTATGTGTAAGTAAATGCACAAAGAATGAACCTCAGCATAAGTAGCACAAGACCTAAAATCTTACAGTTCTGCAAAGATTCTCTGCACATAAAAGACAAAGCAGAGACCAGGATCAACACCATGAAATACTGCAGAGAACCAGTTCCGAAGGCCTGCGATAGCCCTTCTTGAGTTAAACACTGCTATGTAGGTGGGGCTTGGTTATGTGAGACTCAGCAGACTTAGGCTATGTGGCTTGGAGAAAAACAGCAGAGTAAGGAAAGCAGCCACAAAGAACAGTGCAGGCTTCCTCAAAACCCAGTGAAGGAAGGGGGAGAAAGACGGGTCGGGCAGGGTAGGTCCCAGAGTTGGTCCTTAAAAATTCAACACATAAAAACCAATTCTTACTGCTTAAACTTGCTTAAAGAAAACACACATTTGATCCTAAATGTTTTGATTCATACCAGTCCAGCTCTGAAGTGTTGGCTTACATAAAAGTGATTGTGGATGCTAGTTTAATGGACTTGTCTCTTCTTTATTAGGGAGTTAACTTTTGGCCTGAAGGTGTCTTTCCCAGCAATTGTCTCTGGCTCTATCCTCCATCTTCTCCACTGGCTCCAGCTTGCCCTACTTTCCTTCCTTCTGATTCCTTCTCACCACCAACCAGCTCTTCCAACTTGAAGCATTAGTCATGGAAAGCAACAGCAGATTCAGGAGTCTGACTGATTGAGAAAGAGTTCACAGGTATCAAATCAACATTGATCAAGTGTCTATTGAAAGTCTTGTATTGCATGGAAGACCCATGGATTAGGACACAACTTCTGCTTTGGATTTCCATCTACTGAAGGAGACAGATTGATAAATGAATATTCCACATGTATTATTCATTATGAGCAAATTCCTTACTCCTCTAAATTTCATTTATTTTTATGTAGAAGGCCAAGATATAATAGGACTTCCCTTATAGAGATTTTCAAGAGAATTACATGAAATCATGCCTATTAAATAGTCTGTGCAGTTCCTGCAAATAGTAAACAGACAAAACTATTATTACATGAGTAAAGTTGCCTGGAAGAACAGAAAAAAAAAAAAAACAGCACCAAAAATATGCACTTAACAAATCTGAGAATCATTTTGCTAAGTCTTGTGGATATTAAAGATATTCATTCACACCAAGTAAGTCTAGAGTCCAGAATATCAGCAAATTAGCAATTA